AAGGCTGGTGAAGGTATTGTGACAACACCGTGGAGTAGAGGAAGCGACATAAGAACGTGAGGACATTATCCGTACTACTTATCCGTTCCTTAGAGGGTAAAATTGTATTTTTCCATACATTCATATCGTTGTCTACTTCTATCATCAACTATTAAACTTTTGTGAATTGGGTTTCCACCTCGACCAGGAGAGGTGAAGCTTAAATTTTAATTGGGTTGTTTTTGGGAATGAAGGTTGTTTTGGTATTAGCGTTGTAGTGTAGGATGATGAAGGTAAGTTTTCTGTTGGGAGTTTGCAAGAAGATTGAAGGAATTCTAAGTGAGGATAGTATTAAAGCTACGGTGGCAAAGGATTATTTTGGAAGGAGACTCTAAAGCTGTTATTGAAGTAGTGAGTTCATGACAAATGCGATTGACAAAACATTGACCATTTTGTGGATTATATATATATATGTTGTTGTGTGAACAAAATTTCAGTAATTTTTTAGCATCTTGGGTTCATAGGGATGAAATTTAAATGTCCTACTTTCTTGTTAACTTCGATGTATCCTCTTTGAATTAATAACATTATCTCATTGTCTCATTTCAAAAAAAAAAATTATTAAATTAATGTAAATGTTACATTTTGAAATCACAAATAATTAAAATTGATCAAAATTAATAAAATCAAAATTAAAAAATCTTATTCCAAAATTTAGAATTGAGAAATTCGGATTTATACACTTCACTTTGTTATTAGCCATAAGAATTCCTATATATAAACTTTTACCAATTGGTCTTCACAATATGAAATTTAGTCAAATTTAATTACTAATATATACTCATTAGGTCTTAATGGATCTCATTAGCTGGGGATGCAATTTAAGCGAGCTAATAAGAAACACAATTCGAACTTAACTAAAATATTTAGTCAGTGAATAGAGATTTTTAATACTTGGATAAAACTTGAGTAAAATAAATTTGGGTAGATTTCACTCATACTCCCTAGATTTAAACAATATTTTATTAGCACCCTTTCTGATTTTTAAAATATTACTGCACACCCTTGTAGTAACAAAGCACCCTTGTCGTCTATGCCATTACTGACAACCAACAAAAGTTATGATGTGGTGACTTATTCTCTTGTGACTTATCAATTTTATTCCTGACCATTACCACTTACTACTTAAAGTAATGGACAATATCTCATATTAATTTGATTACATTAGATGTTAATTGGATTAAACTGAATGTNACTTACTACTTAAAGTAATGGACAATATCTCATATTAATTTGATTACATTAGATGTTAATTGGATTAAACTGAATGTCAATTTGATGAAATTAAATATTAATTTAGTGATTTAAAAAATAATATTAATTTGATAAAACTAAATCTTAAATTCATAAAATTGAATATTAATTTGATACAATTGAAAGTAAATTTTGTATTAAATTAAAGAAATGATATTAATTTAGTAAAATTAAATGTACAATTCATGAAATTGAATGTTAATTTATAAAATGAAATGAAAATTTAGTTTTGATTGATGAAAATGAAGGTTAATTTGGGATTAAATAAAACAAATGATGTTAATTTGATAAATTAAATGTTCAATTGATGAAATCAAATGTAATTATGACAGAATTAAATGTTAATTTGATAAAATTGAATATCTATTTGATAAGATTGGATGTTAACCGGAAGAAATAAAGTGGTAATTTGATAAAATTTAAGATCAATTTCATATTAATTTGGTAATTTGATGAAATTAAAGTTCAATTTGATGAAACTAAATTCTAAATTAAATAAATTGAATGTTGATTTGACAAAATTAAATTTTAAAATGTTAATTTGAAAAAATTGAATACGAATTTAATGAAATTAAATATTAATTTGGTGTTAAATTGTTGAAATTAGTGGTACTATGAAATTGAATAAATAAAATTAAATATCAATTTGATGAAACTAAATTTTAAATTAAATAAATTGAATATTAATTTGACTTTAATTTGATAAAATTAAATTTTAAAATATTAATTTGATGAAATCAGATATGAATTTGATGAAATTGAATATTAATTTGGTGTTAAAGTGATGAAATTANTTGATGAAATTAGTATTAATGTGATGAAATTAATTGTCAATTTGATGAAATTGAAGTTCAAATTGATATTAATTAATTTGATGAAACTAATTAATTTGATGTCAATTTGGGTAGGCATTAGTAATTTATACATATATATATATCTATACATATACGTAGAGGTTAAACATGTAAAATGATGTAATCTATCAAGGGTAATTTTGTAAATGACCACTTNCTATACATATACGTAAAGGTTAAACATGTAAAATGATGTAATCTATCAAGGGTAATTTTGTAAATGACCACTTTCCTTTATTCCGTTACCCATAATTACTGACAAAGGGTGTTAGTGATATTTTAAAAAATAGAGTGGGTTTTTTTGAAATTATGCTTAAGTGAAATTTACTCAATAAATTTGGATCAAATTTAAATTTGGACAACAATTGAGTTGAGGCTTTGGGTTTTCGGCACCCAACTGGAACCTAACCCAAATGAGTGAAATAGGGCTCACCCTGCATTGAACTGAAATCAACTCAAATTCTAACTTTAGTGCGCAATCCAAGATTGAAACCCTATTTTCACTCGATTTCACGCCGAACATTAGTTTGAGTTTTGTACCCGAGTGTCTCAAATGGAAATAGCAACAATCTATAAACTTAGATATCTTGATATCTTGAGTTTGACTTTGAGTTCGAGTTCGAGTTCGAATCTTTATAACTTCTTCGTAATGTTATCAAAATNTTATAAACTTAGATATCTTGAGTTTGAGTTCGAATCTTTATAACTTCTTCATAATGTTATCAAAATCGGATCGGGCATCAAGCTGATAAGGGGATCGGGTCAATAGTTCACTAGTTCAACCGTTAGGTCAATTGGTCGAACCGGTCATATAATAAAAAATTAAAAAATATTATAAATATTATTTAATATAATAATTTAGCTAAAAAATATGAAACATATCCACAATACATATAATTTGCTCATAAAAAATAAAATTAAGTATTTAGCAGATTGAAAAAAACAGAATAAAATATTTTCAAGTAAATGAAAATCACATTGAGCAAATAGATTAAAAAATGATTAAAAGAAGGGACAGAACAAAATAAATACAAAACAAAGTGCAAACACTGTAATAAATACAAAACCCAGCAAATGCAAATAGAAAATACAAAACCCAGCAAATGCAAATAGTTTATGTCATTTTGCCACCAGAGAAATCAAATGGGGGAGGTCTAAACTCCCCAATCTTCCCTCAAATTCAACCATTTTTTGTTTCTCTTTCTTGTTCCTATGTACTAAGATGGTGATTTTTTTTTGATAAAAAAAAACCAGAGGTGATGAACAATGAACCAACACCAACATGATTATATGTGAGAAAGGAGAAAGGATCGCTGCCTGCCTGAGTTGATCGCTGCCTCCCTGGTGGTGAGACGAAGACGAAGAGCATTGGTCTGAGTGGTCTCTGCCTTATGCCATTTAGTGCAAATCAAAATGTCCAAAATTAAAAACAAAACATCATATTTATAATTTTTCATTTTTTTTTAATGGACTTCAAATCGGTCCGGTTTTAAAAAACCGTCCGGTTCACGATTTTCTTCAAAAGTCGGCTGGTTTGGCGGTTTTTATCCGGTTCACTTCCTTATGCTGTTTAACTAGTGAATCGGACCGGTTGAGGTCCCGGAGTCAGAGTTGAACCGGTCCGGTCCGGTTCTGAAAACACTGCTTCTTAGTGTCAGGCTATGAATGATTTATCTCTTATACATTTCTTAGTTTAATCGTAGATGACCTGCTTTTAATCAGACTGAGAGAGGATTAGTTGAGATGCACGTAAGTTAGTTCGAATACCTTTAATTGTCAAACTTAAAAAAAGAAGAAGCCAAATTGAAATCGTATAACTCTGGAGTTTAAAATTTTAAACACAGTATTCAAGTATAAAAATTCGAATTTGAGTTGTCATGGGGATATAGAGGCACAAGACACTGTCATATTGATTGGTCCCACTTGATTTCCAGTAAGTTGGAGGAATTCAAATTTTATGTTAGCTCAAGTTCAAGATGAAGGATTTAATGTACCACTTCTTCCCTCAATGATTTACGCTTCCAGTTCTTTTAAGTTTCTGAATTCTGATCATCCCATCTCCTCTGCTTATTGTATCTCATCTGTTTTCATCGACTTTTGCTATTCAATTTCTTTTTATGTCCTTGGATGTCTAAATGTTTTTTGCTCATTATGGTTCTATCAGCCCGGTTACTCCTCTGTTTGCTCTTCCATCTCTCATGATATCTGCTTTGCTTGTATAGCAAAAACATAAAGATCTATTGGTAATGCAGCAAAGGATTACTAAGCATTCATTCTTGCAGCTATAAGAATTGCATTGGGTACTAAAACCATGAATTTTTTTTACTTTCTTATTAAAATTGGGAACTAACTAAGGGAATACATTGTTTTAAACAATTGGACAATTGAAAAATTCAACTGAAAGGAACAAAGATGTGCAAATTTTCTAACCCTACTATCTATTACATCATGAATGACTTTACAGCAAGCACAAAGTATCAAAGGAAAATGGTTAACTCTACAGTTCATGTAAACCTAGCTGGTAATGTATTACCTATGCTCCCCATCGGGAAAGANCATCAAAGGAAAATGGCTAACTGTACAGTTCATGTAAACCTAGCTGGTAATGTATTACCTATGCTCCCCATCGGGAAAGAATGTTCAAAGGAACAGTTTGTACTTTCAACACAATCTATGGCTATGAATTTGAGTACAACGATTAGATCACTGATGTCACAAGTAGAAGTACTGACCATTTTCTCTCCAACAAGCAGCATTCTTGAGAGAGTGCAAAAGACCAAAACCTATGTACCTATCCTCAGGTGCTGCCAGTATGTTGTACAGCCAACACCCACCAATGCTCATTACTCTTCTTCATTGGATAAGAGTCATAAGATCTGACTGAAAGAAATATAACACCCAATGTGAGACATTAAAGCTAATTCCCCTTTCTTCGTTTGCTTTACTGTTTCCTGCATTTTGTTTTCTTTGGCTTTGAACAGGTAGTAATATAAGTGATTACTGAATAAAGTGAAAAGATAAATCAGCACCTCAGGAAGCTCGAAAGTGAAAGTGTCTGCACGTGGAAAGCTTTGGTGTAAGTAGGTCGTAACATATGTTGGTGCATACAGCAAGATTTTCCCTTTACGTTTGACTTCAAAACTTGGACACATTCTGTGTTCCTGTAAATGACAAAATTGCAAATAAATAACCAGCAGGGGGAAAAATAGCCACTTTAGCGAAATACTTCTCCTAATAGTTTTTGTTCTAGAAAGTCTTCATGCCAATTGTTTTAAGAAATTTATACCTAGAGGTCCTAAGAAATGTAAGGTAAAAAAAACAGAAAGCAAATTAAAGAATAAATTGGATATTGAAGTCACTTGCTAGGCAGCTCTGCACATGGCAGATAGCAGAAAGGAGCTTAGCAACTTTTTTTTTTTTTTCTTTTTTGCTCTATAATTGCAAAACAAGACAAATACATCAGATGATGATGAATCCTTTTGTAGCCAACTTGATGAGGTCATGAAATGATATCTCTAGTTTATTCTGAGATCATGGCAAAATGAGGTTCTGAAATCATATTTCTTCCATTAAACTCTAAAGAAATATGACCTTATCTACCTGAAATGCTTCTTGCCCCATACGACCACAAAATAAAAAAATTTATATTGAATTTGCAATGTGAGCAACACGGAAACGATCTCTCTGCACTCACAATAAGGCTGTCCATACCTTTTGGAGATCCAAGATCAAGGGCTTCTCAATGGCAGCGGTCCAGGGGTCGATAATAGCATCAGAAGATCCATTCCTGTCTGTGTGGCTATTATTTGCTTTCAAACTTCGACCCCTTAATGTAGAGGCTCCACGTTCACATAGATTAGAAATGTCGAGGAGAATCTAGGAACAAGAAAAAACACATCCCTTTAGCAAAAATGATTTTGCTGTTTTGTTTTATTTTATTTAAGTTTGGCAGTAACATAACATACTTTGGATCCCAACTCTAACATTTCCCTTTTGAATATCACTATTCCCAGAATATTCTCATGGAATAATTCACCAAAAAATAGAACAGAACAGGATCCCCATTCTCCACTCCAAACCCCCCACCCCTTCCCCGCGGCGGCCCCCCACGACCACCTCAAAACCTCCACCACCACCACGACAAAACCAAGAAAGATCTCTCAGAAAGTGTCAATGAAATGGTAGCATTCACTTCTTAAATGTAAACCTTTTAATAGGACAGAGGGAAACTTTCATTTCTTTTGGTTATGAGCTGCCAAGTAGTTGGTCCTAAATACAAAAAGATGTCAATGTTATAAATTTGACACTAATATGATACAAACCCACAAATGATGCGATAATTTAATACGAAAAATAAAAGGGATTGGTTTAGTGACAGAAAATAACAGCCTCTGTTTATTGGCATTATAGCAAAAAATTANGTGTCAATGTTATAAATTTGACACTAATATGATACAAACCCACAAATGATGCGATATTTAATACGAAAAATAAAAGGGTTGGTTTAGTGACAGAAAATAACAGCCTCTGTTTATTGGCATTATAGCAAAAAATTATATATATATGAATTTTTTTAATTTCTACATCCAATACTCCATGAATTATTTTAAAATTAAATAGACACAACTACATGACATGACACGAATGAGAGACACATGAGCATGCCACGAGACAAATTGATTGGAAGTTTCATCAGTACCATCATAGTCTTCAAGGACAGGAAGATGTACGGCGCGTTCCAGAGATCACCAACCATGNGACCACATGAGCATGCCACGAGACAAATTGATTGGAAGTTTCATCAGTACCAGCATAGTCTTCAAGGACAGGAAGATGTACGGCGCGTTCCAGAGATCACCAACCATGTTNACCACATGAGCATGCCACGAGACAAATTGATTGGAAGTTTCATCAGTACCATCATAGTCTTCAAGGACAGGAAGATGTACGGCGCGTTCCAGAGATCACCAACCATGTTAATCAAGATCTCCTCCATCTTATTTTTTCTCTCAGTTGCACAACCCATTTCATAAGAACTTGTATGATCCAAGTCTATAGACACTCTGTCCAAACGAGGCATGTTTCCCTTAAAGGACACTGCAGGAATAGTGCCTTTGCACTTAAAACAAGCGAGTCTTGGTGCACAAATCTCTATTTGTTGATCATAAACATAGGCCCAAGGAAATCTCCCAGGTAATATCTGTATCTCATTGAGTTTATGCCCTGAAACATTCAAAACCTTCAGTTTATCCCCAGGACTAATGGCACATTTGCGCAAAACCAAAGTTTCAAGATTTGGGCACCCAGAAAAGATCTGTGCATTGAAATTCTGATGCGTAAACAAGAAGTTCTTGAGTTGGAGAAACTTCAAATTCGTTAAGGCCACCGTTTGGTTCAAAATCAATCTGGTAGGAGTAGCATTGCTCAACTTTAACACTCTCAGAGACTGGCTAATATAGAACTCGGATGGCATTTCAAAGAATGTCTCATCACAAAACGCTCCAATGTCGAGTTCTTGGACATGGTGGATCAAGGCATATTGTACACACTTCTCTATAAGTACTGTGTCGATTTTTGCGAGGGCAGCGAAGCGGAGCATGGTGATCGGAGAGTTATCACGGTGAGCAAGAACGCGGTTGACGACCTTTGTGAAAAGATTTCTTGCGGTGTTGCTTGGGCCGTATTCGAAGTCGAGAACGGCGGTGAGTGAATCCCAGACGAATTTCCAACACCCATTTGTCGTTAAAGAGGTTCGCACAGTAGATTCATTGTCGAGAAAAGAAGGTATGAATCCGAGGATATTTTTTTCTTCTGGGCTGAGTCCATCAATATCTTCCATGATTAACGCAAACGGAGCTCACCACGTATTCGAGAAAATGCCAGAATCAAGAATGGAGATGTGGTGGGCAAAGATTTCAGGGTCGGTGATGAACAAGAGAGAGAGAGAGAGAGAGAGAGAGAGAGAGCAGTTTCTCTGCGGATTCTAAAAAAATAAATTTGGAAATTGAGATCAAGAAGGAGAGTAGTAATCGTAGAACTGGGGACGGTGTGTTGGAGTTGATCAGAATTCAGAAGTCCAAGCGATACGAGTATATATATTCCGACCCAGAAAACTTTGCCTGGAGTGAGGCGAGAGCGGNAGAATTCAGAAGTCCAAGCGATACGAGTATATATATTCCGACCAAGAAAACTTTGCCCGGAGTGAGGCGAGAGCGGGAGCACCAGAGGCGGAGCGAGAGTAAAAGAGCACCGCTCTATAACCCAAATCTCCTACCCAAATTTTTATTCCAAATTAAAGGAGAGTATTAGATCAATAAGTTTCATTTAAAAAAGTTGATAAAATTTACTCATCCAATAATCTCCCTTCATTTAAGATGGAGATTTGGATTAGAGATTTGAGATCAATAGTATTTCTCGGGTGTAAAAAGGGCTAAATTTAAAAGAGACTATAAATTTCCATTTGACCCCACTAAACTATAAATTATNCATAGTATTTCTCGAGTGTAAAAAGGGCTAAATTTAAAAGAGACTATAAATTTCCATTTGACCCCACTAAACTATAAATTATAAAATTATTAAGTTCATTTCAATCATACCCATTCTACTAAAATAACTAAGTCTACTCCTTCCTATACTTGGCTCATTAATAACTAAATTTATCTCACTGTTTACTTTTATGATTTTTTTATACATCACCTCACATAGTTTATATAAAATATACTCAACTGGATTATCTACTAAAACTAAACAAACAATTATCTATAGATTTTATAAGTCGGGGAGAGACTTAATGATTTTTTTCTTTTCCTTTTTAAGAAACTTAACTTCAAATATGACCTACATCGAAGATTTCAACAGATTTCTTTCTATATATTAAACAATTGCATGTGAACAAGATATTTTTTTCTCAAACTCCTTCAACCGGTGATTTAAAAAGCAAGAAAGAGAAACATATAGAGGAATTGGAGTACTATTTTGAAGATGAAATTAGAGAAAATAGAGATCAAATGACAAAAATTGAAACAATTTTCACGAAAGAAACCTAGAGTGGAATTCAACTAAGTATATTTTGTGTATAGACAGTGTGACATGGGTATAAAAAGAAAACCCAAAAGGTAAAGATTGAGATAAAAAAAATTTATNGTGACATGGGTATAAAAAGAAAACCCAAAAGGTAAAGATTGAGATAAAAAAAATTATTAATAGGGTGGGTATAAAGTGGGGTAGACTTAGTTACTAGTGAAGTGAGTATAAAAAGGATAAACTTAGTATTTTTATTATTTATAATTTAATGGGATGGAAACTAAGATTTGNGTAGACTTAGTTACTAGTGAGGTGAATATAAAAAGGATAAACTTAGTATTTTTATTATTTATAGTTTAATGGGATGGAAACTAAGATTAGTGAGGTGGGAATAGCCCCCCGATTTAAAAATTCTTATAGAGTTGGAGTTTAAGAGAAGTGTGATATTATATATACACGGTCGATGTCGGAGACTGTCCACCGAGCTTTAGAAGTGTAGTTGACCAGAATTGACTTGACCACCTTGGGGAAGTTCTTAGGGAAGTCAAGGATTGAAGGGGCTCCAGTGGTCGACTCTCCGATACATAAGTCAACAAGGAATTATTAAGAGTGATCGTATTTAGCTGGAATGAGACTTACTTACTTGGATGATCTTTAGCTTACCCTTTTATAGGCCAGTGGGCATACAGTTGGAGGGTTCTTATCCTTTATTTGAATAAAGATGACATTAAGGCTGTCATTAGTGAGGACTCTCTAAGGCATACGTATCTCAACTGAGTTTGAATTAGTCAAAGCGTGTTAAACTAAAACATTACTGAGTTGGGGATGCAAGTTTGACGAGCTAATGAGCCAAGGGTTGGGGATAACACCTTACTGAGTTATGAAACTCGTTTCCGAGTTACGGAGCTCCCCAGCTGAGATTGTGATCAATTAAACCATCATCAGATGCCCCTCAATTTAAACCAGCGAGGATTGCACATGTAGCACATTTAATGCATTTGTCCATTAGAACCTAGGGAAACGGGAATGTGGATTGTGCATATGTAACTGCCAAAAGAACCATTATAGGGCCAGTATTTAAAGCATTCTTCTCCACTATTCATGCAGCATGTCTTCAAGAGCCCTAAGAATTTTGATACACCTTTCCTGCATCATATTTATTTTTTCTTCTCTTTCTGTTTCACTTAAACTCTTCATCTTGGAGCACATAGGTTGGAGCCACGCCTTTCAGTTCCATTTTATCACTTATGTTTCCTTCAGTGGAAGAATTTTAGTCTTGATCATCTTGGGTATCTACCTAAACCCGTGCTTGATTCTTGTCTTTCTTTTCTTACACGTAGTACTTCGGCATTGACACGCCATGTCGATGCATCCAATGAAGACTTCGACTCTATGCTAGACATTGACTCTTTGTCCCTTAGAAAATTAGGGTTTTGTACCAAATCCCTGACTCCGTTCGCCTTAGGGTCCCTACTTCTGATGAAACTGCTAACTCTTTTGGCCCTAATAAGGTCTACTTCTATGACTCCTTCTTCAAGGTCAGATTTCGTTTTCCTAACCCAATTACATTAGGGAGGCCCTACACTTCTCGAATCTTGCTTATACTCAGTTAACCCCAAATAGTTAGGGGTTCTTTTTTAGCATTGATGTCCTTTGGGCTAAGGCCAATGGCATCGATGTTTAGCCTAACCTCCCTGAGCTTATGCATTGTTATAAACTCACCCTTTGCTATGGGACAAGGTTTGGGGTGGTTTTACCTTTCAAAGCGAGAGGAAATGAACCTCATGATTACTCTCCAAATGTGAAAGAGTGGAAAAACAAGTTTTTCTTCATTTTTGGACTTGCCTAGAATTTGGGCTTCGAAGGTACTTTTTAGCTGACCCCTCCGTAAATGGCGTTCCTTTGATGTTATTTGATATGTAGCTTTATTGAATTTTCATCTCTTGCTTTCTTGTATTATACGTAAATCAAACCCTCTACCTCATGAGCTAAAGCTATAGGTCAAGAAGGCTCTTGACTACTCCACCAAATATCTCTTTGAGCTTGCAAATGGTTAGGCGCTCTTCGAGTGCCAACTAGGCCCTCATCTGATTATCTATGATCCTTCAACTCTAGCTCCCTCTTCTTCAAAGGGTATAACTTTAACTTACAATTTTTGTTCTCGCCTTAACACAATATTATCCATTTTTTTTGTTGTGTTAGCCATGTCCCCTATGCTAGTTGACAAAAAGCTTCTTCAAGGGGCCGCGGCTAAGAGGACCTCTGATACAAGCTCACCGGGCTCCACCACCCTACCAACGACTGCTCTCGTTCCCAAGGTCATTTTAAAGGAATGGGTCAATCTCATGGCCACCTATCAAGTAGATGATCCCCTTCTGAAGGTCCTTATGGTTGACACACCTCCTACTCCCTTAAAGGACAAAAGCAAGGCTATAGTCTCTAATATGGCTGAAGAGAAGAACAACGTTACTCTAGATCTTTTTGCGAATCGTATGTCTGTCCCATCGACAATGTGGAACAGCGTGGAGGAGGATATGACTAGGTTGTGAAGTTCTCACATATTTTATTATGCTTACCTCATTTTCCTCTTGCTCCATTTTGACTTTTCCTTCTTGCTCAACTCTTCATCTTTACAACTAGCCTTTCCTATACTACTCTTGGTGAGAAAAAGCCTACGAAAAGCAGTTTATTGCCTTCCATTCTCAATTGGAGATAAAGGATGTCGAGGTCATAACTACTCGTGAAGACATTCTGAGGTTGATGAAGGATGTAAAGAAAAGTAGGATTCTCCCCACTGATGTAGAGAAGGAGCGGCATAATGCTCTGAAGGCCAAGAACGAGCTGATGATAAAGCTTAATAACTCTATGACAAATGCCTTCGAGCTCACAAGGAGCTCAAAGAGGAGAAAGAGGATCTTTCGTAGAAAATTCTTGACCTCTCCTCTATGTTGGAGGGGAAAGAGTTAGAGATTAAGTTTTCTGGGGAGGCTGTTGTGAAGAAGTATTAAGACTCCAATATTTTCAAAAAGAAGGTTCTTGAATATTATGTGGATGATTTGAAGATTTCAAGAAGCGTGACCAAAAGGAATATCCCAGCTTGGACTTCTCTAAATTTGTTGTCGTTGGAGGAGACAAGAAAGAGGAGGATGGGGAAGAGATGAGCATCAAGTCCCCTAGAAATAAGAAAGATGAGGGGAAGCCAAAGAAGTTGCTAAGCAAGTTGCCGAGCTAGACAAGAAGATCATGGGAGATTCTCCCGATCAAGCCAAATAGGTCGAAAAGGGGAAAGTTGATAAAGTGGCCAAAGAGGTCATCAAAAGTGCTGACCTAGCCGAGTAAACCAGAGATGGTGGTCAAACCTAGTAGGGCTATAGGGCTTTTTGTTCTTCCTTGTTATTTTGCCCTCCAATCCCTTTTTGTAATGAAGTTTCTAGCACCTCAATGAACATCTTTTCTTTTCTTGCATATTGTTGCTTCTTAAATGGCTTCAAGGTTGTATTGTGTTGGGCCCTCGCTCATTTGAATGACATTGGCTTGTTCTTTAGGTGCTAGGGTTGGTACCTTATGCTTCGATTGAGTCTCTTGGACTTAATCTAAGCTAGGCTAAGTGCCTTATGCCGCTGTTGAGTCTCTTGGACTCAATCAAAGCTAGGCTAAATGTTTTATGCTTCTATTAAGTCTCCTAGACTCAATCCGGGCTATGCTAAGTGCCTTTGGTAGTTTAGGCTAAAGAAAATGCCCTCCTCCACACCTCTACTTGAAGCATAAGAAACTAAGTTTTCACAGGCCAATCAAAGTGGCATATTTATAAATAATGTTCTTTATTCAACAGATATGCCAGAACAAGGCGTTATTGAGGCTATCTGCACGAAAGCTTTACTCTAACTAGAANAATCAAAGTGGCATATTTATAAATAATGTTCTTTATTCAACAGATATGTCAGAACAAAGCGTTATTGAGGCTATCTGCACGAAAGCTTTACTCTAACTAGAAAACTAACTAGAAAACCAAAGAGATTATTAGAAAATTTTCTTCAAGTTCTTAACATTCCACAGATGCAGCAGCTTGACTCTTTCCAAGGTCTCCAAGTGGTAGGTCCTTAGCTCTAAAGCATCTACTACTTTGTATGGCCCTTCCCAACTTTGTCCTAACTTCCCATGCTTAGGATCTTTGGTTGCTAGAAGTAGTTGGAGCTCGAGGGTATAAATGACAGAGGGTAAGCCAATGATAGTGAAGGACTTCATAACCTTCTTCAGGACCAAGTCATTTGGAAGAAATTTTCTAGGTTTAACCTTGGAGTTATAGTACCTCGTCATTGTGTTTTGATATGCCGCAACCTCTATTTGTGACTCCTCATTTTTCTCTTCCAAACAGTCTAAGTTGTCGGCTAACAACAAATAATTCTCTGTTTTATTGAATTTTCATCCTGTACATGGCTAACCCAGGTTCAACTGGAATGATTTCCTTTGTGCCGAACACCGTAGAATAAGGAGTTTGGCATGTGGGGGCCCTGGCAATAGTCTAGTATGTCCATAGGATGCTTGGTAGCTGTTCAACTCATAGTCTTTTAGATTGCTCAATTTTGGTCTTAATACTCTTGAGAAGAGTCCGTATTGTGACTTCAGCTTGACCATTGGCATGTGAATGATCAAGAGAAGTTCTAAACCCCTCCCTCATTTTCAAATTGCTTTTCTTTGCCATTTATTTTGACACTGGTGTAACATCCCAAAATTCACCCTTGAATTCATTACTATTTACAAACAANGAAGAGTCCGTATTGTGACTTCAGCTTGACCATTGGCATGTGAATGATCAAGAGAATTTCTAAAGCCCTCCCTCATTTTCAAATTGCTTTTCTTTGCCATTTATTTTGACATTGGTGTAACATCCCAAAATTCACCCTTGAATTCATTACTATTTACAAACGATCTAATCATGAGATCAACTAAAAATAACCATTTAAAGACTAAATCATTCATAAATTTGATAAGTAAATAAAACAATGTAACTTTTCCAACTGACAACTCAAAACTAAAATGTATCGAGCAAGGGAATAATTAAATCTGATTAAAACATTATTTCATAAAAATTCCTCAAACTCTAGCCAACAAAAAAACATCTCTACTCCTCCAAGATGGGATCCACATCTTGATTCTCTACTGCCTCGTAGTCAACCTGCTCATCCACATTGACATTCTCTTCTATACCGAAATTTGTAAATGTGTTGTTGTAGAAGGTGACCAAAAGTCTGTGGAAAATTCCTCTCAAATCCAGACAACATTTTTAAAATAATATAATATAAAGGAAGCAATTCTCTTTTGTAAAAATAATATGCATACCTTTTTGAAAGTAAAATAATGACTGTTGTAATTATCTCAAGTGTACGACATATAGTAAATTAACAGCAGGAATAAATATTTAAAGATTAGATCAATCAACGAATAATTCAATAACATCATCGCAATTATCTCATGTATGTTGGTTGTTTCTCAAGAATCTACACAATGATGCTACGTCGTTCACCCATCAGAAACATAAACAATCTAAATCATTTCTCGCAAGGCCATATCTCAAACCACTTTAGAAAAGGTGCGTACAATCTCATACTATATTGACGAATCCATTTTCAAGAAAGATATACTATCCTTCAACCTTTAACCTACATGAACAATTGTAATTGGACTCTCAAGGAACAACTCACTACAATTTTTAGACAATCATTTCACCTTCACTGGGATTGACTAACCTCTAACATTTTATGATAGCTTTCGAAAGCAATACAAGTCCATTACACCCAAAACATACAGACATGAAAACTACAACTTTATAAAAAGAAAATCATGTACTCAACAAACCATAAGTCCCATCAAATCAATGTATCAAAATTTCACAATTCTCAATATACAATAATAATAATGGAATTAAAATAAGCAAAAAATCACATCAAGAAAGTATTTACAATTTTGATATCACAAATCTAGGTTTTTGCCAATCAACTTCTTGGAACAAGAACAAGTATTTTTTAAGTATTTGATTAAAAATCTAATTTAATCAAGAACTAATGTATTTTTCATGTTAAAATATTTTTTTAAAGCAAAACTAGGGTTTTGGAAATCAATAATGATAATTTTTAAACAATAAACAAGTATTTTGCCTAAAACAACTTTTCAATTGTAAAGAAATCAATCACTAACAATTATATATAATATAAATATTAAGAAGATTGAAAACAGACATATATAATACCATAAATCTCAATGAAAGAACTTAAGAAGAACCTCCTACATTTTAATCTGTAGTTTGGTGAAAATCCTACACTTTGATTCGTCTCCCTTGTGGACATCCCTTTGAATCCTTGTATTTTATCCTTCTCTCTCTCTAGGGTTATCTAGGTTTAAAGCTATTGAAACTAACCTAAGGGGCATCCTCAGGACATTTATAAGGTCTGAATTTATACAATCATCATGAGCCTAACCACTGTTAAAAACTCACTCGCATTCAAACGGAGATTTTCTTTCGAACGTGACTTTGAACGCTAATGGCATTCGAATGTTACTTGTTCCTAGTTATCTCAATTCCTGTCAGAGTTTCTGTAGATACCAAATTACTATAACCGAACTCTGTTCAAATGTTGGCATTCAAACGTGAGTCCAATTCTTAACTTAACTTCAACTGCAGATTTGACCAATCTGGAATTCATTTCACGAAATCTTTGTGGAATGCACCTTTTTAGATTCTTAGAATCTAGTTTCTATTGTCCAAATTTCATGTCAATCCAATATCAAAATATCAAGTTATGATTAAAATGCCCAAATAATATCTAATTAGTGTCTTCCTAACTTCTTCCAAGAATAGATAATATATTTCCAAAATATTTATTTCTCCTCATACAATCTATATGGTTCATTCTTACACCATTACACATATAAAAAACACACAAAAATTTCGTAAAAATATTATAAAAATGTGGAGCTTTACTACTGGTATGCTGAATACGGATAATGGATTTCCACACAAACCCTGAATCTTTTGTTCAATAATTGTTGTCAATGGCTCTACCTCAACCCACTTTGTGAAGTAGTATATGATGAAAATAACAAATTTATTATGTCTCTTTCCTTATTGGGAGTGGTCCTACAAGGTCAATTCCCCATTGGGTGAACGACCATAGGCTAGTTATGGAGACGAGTTCCTAGGGAGGTTACTTTGTAACAGCAACAAACTTCTGGAATTTCTCACACTTCTAGACATAGCTCCAGGCATCCTCCTTCATGGTAGGCCAGAAATACCCTTGCCTCAATGCCTTATAGGCTAAAGCTTACCCTCCGAAATGGTNTTTTTTTAAAGCAAAACTAGGGTTTTGGAAATCAATAATGATAATTTTTAAACAATAAACAAGTATTTTGCCTAAAACAACTTTTCAATTGTAAAGAAATCAATCACTAACAATTATATATAATATAAATATTAAGAAGATTGAAAACAGACATATATAATACCATAAATCTCAATGAAAGAACTTAAGAAGAACCTCCTACATT